GGACTCTGACCTCTCTGACGACGATACACCCTCCTGCCTCCAACGCCCCCGCTAAACGATGCATGCATGCGCGCATGCATGCATGCATGCATGCATGCATGCATGCATGCATGCATGCATGTGTGTGTGAGTGCATGCATGCGTGCATGCATGCATCAATGTCAGTGTATGCATGCATGCATGCATGCATGCATGCATCTGTACTTCACCTTCTCTTTCTGTTTTTTTTTGGGTGTACGTACAGCCGAATATAAATATGTTTTTATAAAAGGAGAGAAAGGGGGAGAGACAGAGAAAGAGAAAGAAGAGACAAAAACAAAAAGAAAGAAAAAAAGAAAGATACAAAGACAGCAACATTATACTGTCTCCTCTCTTTCTCTCTCCTTTCTTTCTGTCTCCTTTCTCCTTTCTCTCTTCTTGCTGCAGCAGCTGCTGCAGCTGCTGCAGCAGCTGCAGCAGCAGCAGCAGCTGCAGCAGCAAGACGTTGTTGGGTCCCCCCAAAACAATGAATAGAACAACTACTTATTGTTGCTGTTTTTTTTCTTTGTCTCCTTTCTCTCTATCTCTTCTTCTTTCTTTCTTTTTTTCTCTTTTTCTTTTGCTGCTGAGGGCGCCTGCTGCAGCCCCACTGCAGCAAATGCTGCGCACACAATAGCCTGCTGCTGCTGCTGCTGCTGCAGTTTACTGCTGCAGCAGCAGACAGCGGCTTGTTGCTGCAGCAGCAGCAGCAGCAGCAGCAACAGCAGCAGCAGCAGCAGCAGCATTTTGCTGCTGCAGCACTGAACTCATTGCATGCAGCTGCCTGCGCGGGGGCCCTGTATTATGTTCACTGTATATAACTTGCTGCTGCTGCTGCTGCTGCTGCTGCTGCTGCTGCTGCTGCTGCTGCTGCTGCTGCGGCTGCTGCTGTGTAGGGAGTTGCTGCTGTCTCTCTGTCTCCTTTTGTTTTCTTTTTCTTCTTTATTTCTCTTTTCTCTGTCTCCTCTCTCCCCTAGACAGACTGGCCCTGCACGGACCCGTTGCTCGACCGATGAGACCTGTGAAACAACCACAAACCCTAAACCCTAAACCCTAAACCCTAAACCCTAGAAATCTATAGTATACTAAACCCTAAACCCTTGGCTGCTTGATATTCAGCACGTTCACTGCTGCTCATAAACCCTTAAAATATAAACCCTAAACGTCAGGGTTTGGTTGGTTTATAGCTGGGGAAACGAGGGTTTAGGGTTTATTAGGGTTTAGGGTTTAGGGTTTAGGGTTTAGGGTTTAGGGTTTAGGTTTTTTTCTTCACCCTGCTTGGCTCCTGAGAATGCCTATAAGCGGTTTCTCTTCGTCTGCAACAACAGACCTGTAAAAAAACACAAAATAAACAAATGCTTCCCTTGCATGCATGCATGCATGCATG